ACCTCAATAATCTGTCCTATTATCAACCATATCAAGGTACTGATCAGGTCACTATTGGAAATGGCACTTTTGTCCCTATCAATCACACTGGTAACGGACTTTTACCTACTCCACATCATTCATTTCGACTTAATAATATTCTTCATTCATCATCTATTTCTTCCAATCTTGTTTCTGTTCAAAAGTTAGCTCAGGATAATCATTGCATCATAACATTTGATGAGTCTAACTTTGTGATTCAAGACAAAATTATAAAGAAAGTTCTTCACAAGGGATGTAACATTAATGGACTCTATCATTTTCTGCCACCTATTTCTTCATCTGCTGCTTCACCAGTTTGTTCACAAGTTTTTGTTACTAGTACTAATAAATCTACTGATAGGTCTACTTCTGTTACACCTACTATTTAGCATAATAGACTAGGGCACCCTTCCTCTGTAAAATTTCATCATCTTCAACATCATTTGCATCTTAAATTTGTACCTCTTGCTCCTCAAGATTGTGTAGATTGTTGTGTTGCTAAAAGTCATCGCCTTCCTTTTCATTTGTCCAATTCAAGTGTAAATAAGCCTCTTTCTCTTATTCATAGTGATGTTTGGGGCCCTTTTCATTATTCTTCTACTTACAAATACTATGTGATTTTTGTGGATGATTTTAGTAAATTTACTTGGTTGTATCCTCTAGTATATAAAAGTGAGGTCTATGACAAATTTTTGGAATTCAAAACTTATGCTGAGAAACAATTTGATACTGTTTTAAAGATATTTCGTACTGATGGAGGAACTGAGTTTTGTAATAATAAAATGAAGAACTTTATTGTTGCTAATGGCATTATTCATCAACATTCTTGCCCATACACTCCACCACAAAATGGCACTGCTGAAAGAAAACATAGGCATATCACACAGATAGCAGTTGCACTGATTCATCATTCCTCCATGCCTCTTAAATTCTGGTTTGAAGCAGTTGCTGCTGCTATTTACTTGATCAATAGACTTCCTTCTACTCAGCTGCAGCATCAATCTCCTTTTGAAGTTTTATTTCATTATCCTCCAGATTACTCTTTTCTCAGGGTTTTTGGTTATCTCTGCTATCCTTGGCTTCAGCCTTATTCATCCACTAAACTTCATCCAAAGTCTCTACCTTGTATTTTTCTTGGTTATCATCCCTTTGCTAAGGGGTACAAGTGTCTTGATCCCATTTCTGGCCGGATTTATCTTTCTAGACATGTTCTTTTCAATGAATCTGTCTTTCCTTTTAAGCAAGTGTCCTCTACCTCTTCTTTTCTTCCTTTACCTCAAATTCAATCTTTCTTTTGGTCTACTATCCCTACTCCATCTTCTTCAGCTCCAGCACCAGCTGCAGTTACAGTTATCTCCTCAACTTTTCCGTCTACTTCTCCAGCTTTTCCATCACCAGCAGCTCCACCAGTATCTCTATCTGCTCCTCCAGCAGCAGCAGTAACTTTGTCTGTTCAGCCTCTTGGTCGGCCCCATTGTGGTCCTTCTTCTTCTATTCCTGTTGATTCCCTCTCAGTCCACTTACTCTTACTTCCCCCTACAACTACTAATGTTCATCCCATGATTACGCGGTCTAAACTCCCTTCTCAATGTTTACTTCATACCAAACCTTCTTCTTCCTCTGCTCTATATTCAACTTCTGAACCTCCATCTCATACCGATGCTCTTCTTTCTCCTGTTTGGTAAAAGGCTATGCAAGCTGAATTTCATGCTTTGCAACAGCAACATACTTGGTCGCTTGTCTGTCTTCCCCCAGGCAAAACTGTTATAGGTTGTAAGTGGGTTTTCAAGGTTAAAAGGAATTCGGATGGTACCATAGCTAGACACAAAGCTCGTCTAGTGGCCAAAGGGTACCTTCAGCAAGCAGGTGTGGATTTTCAAGAGACCTTTAGTCCTGTAGCTAAGCTTCCAACCATCAAAATTTTGCTCTATCTCGCTCTTCATCATCAGTGGCCCTTGAAGCAATTGGACATATCCAATGCCTTCCTTCATGGAGTTCTTGAAGAGGAAGTGTTTATGCTTCAACCACCAGGGTTTGTTCATCCAGATTACCCTTATCATGTTTGTCATCTCAAGAAAGCTTTATATGGCTTGAAACAGGCACCCTGGGCTTGGTATTCTACATTTTCCAATTATCTTTTATCTCAAGGGTTTCATAATAGCAAGTGTGATTCTTCTTTATTCATCCAGCAAACCAGCACTACTTTCACTGCTCTTTTGGTCTATGTGGATGATATTTTAGTCACAGGCAATGATGCTTCTCACATTCAAACATTTATCTCTCATATGCACACTGCCTTCTCTATGAAAGAACTTGGTGACTTATCCTATTTTTTGGGTATTTCCATCACCCCAACTTCCAATGGCTATGTTTTGTCCCAATAGAAATATGCTGAGGATATTCTTCATAAGGCAGGCTTAGCTAATTGTAAACCCTGTCCATCACCTATATCAGTTAAGCCCTCATTTGCTCCTGATTCATCAGCTCCATGTTCTGATCCTGTTCTCTATCGTAGCCTTGTTGGTGCTCTCCAATACCTCACCATAACTCGTCCAGATATTTCTTTAGCAATTAATCACGCATGTCAGCATATGCATGCTCCCACCATTGGACATTTTGCTGCAGTTAAACAACTGCTGCGTTTTGTTAATGGTACCATTGGCCATGGTCTGACCTATTCTCCCAGCTCTTTTGATATTCAGGCCTACTCTGATTCTAATTGGGCTGGAGATGTTTCAGACAGAAAATCTACCTCAGGTTATTGTATATTTTTGGGTTCTAACTTGGTGTCTTGGTTCGCCAAAAAGCAAGCCACAGTTTCTCGCTCTTCCACTGAAGCAGAGTACCGTTCTCTCGCCTATACTGCTGCAGAGTTGGCTTGGATTAGCATGCTCCTTACTGAATTGTCTATTGCCTCTCTTGTGCCTCCTACTCTCTGGTGTGACAATATTTCTACTATGGCTTTGGCTTCCAATCCCGTATTTCATTCCAGGTCTAAACACATTGAAGTGGACTACCACTATGTTCGAGAACAAGTTCTCGCTAAAAAGCTGGTTCTTCAGTATATTCCAACTATTGACCAGTTGGCTGACATCTTCACTAAACCTCTCTCCGTCTCCAGATTTTTGTATCTCAAAGACAAGCTTATGGAGTTCACTCACCCCATTAGCTTGAAGGGGAATGTTGAGGATATTGCATCAAAGCAATCAGCCATCAAAGCCCAAGCATAGCAGCTCAACTGCTGTTCTGTTTCAGTAATAAAGCCAAGCTAGCTCAAAACAGATAACAGTTAGGCAGTTTGATAGTTTGTAGATGGTTAGACGGTTACAAAAATTAGCACATGTGCTTTAGATACATATCTCTTGTATAGATATAGTTGTAGCACTATATATATGAGTATAGCTTGTACATTGAAAGTATTGAATAAGAAATTCATCTTTTCTTCAGAGATGATGACGATGGAGTGGGACGCTGCTGCTACTGCCCCTACTCGCAGTCGCTCTACGCCACCTCGCTGCTCTACGCCGCTGAGTGAGTGAGAGAGAGGCGATTGAGACTGAGTGAGCGCGTGAGAGAGAAAGAGAGACGATGTCGAGAGAGAGATGAGCGACTGAGAGAGATGCTGCCGCTGCAAGCCGCCGCCTCCCTTGCCCTACGCCGTTGAGCACAACTGAGAGACAAATGAGCGACTATAAGCAAGAGAAGGAAAAGAAAAAGGGCGGGGGGGGAATTTCAAGAGGAATTTTGGGAATAATTTGTTAGTTTTTTTTTTTCATCAGGGTTTGAATGAGTCAAAATAGGTTTTGTATTAAAAAATTATTTCAATTTTTTAAAATTGTTTTTTGAGTTTTTAATTAATATTTTTTTGTTTATTTTTATTGGAATTTTTCAATATTTTAATCAATTAAAATATTTAAAAAGTCACTAAAAATTTTAAAAAATAAGAATTGAAACTTGAAAATTAAATTTTGAAATTGAAACCAAATGAAATCGATTCAAACTCATCTATTTGATAAAGGGATTTAAATGGTTTCGGTTGAGGTAGAGTGCTAGTGGTGGTGGCAGTGGAGCGACGGTGATGGAAGTGGAGTGGTGGCAACGGTAGTGGTAAAGTAAGGCAGTGGTGATGGAACAAAAATGCTAGCGACAGCGGTGGTTATGGTAGTGGTGTGGCAGTAGTAGTGGAGGTAGTGGAGAGGTGATGGTGGTAGTGGTGGTGATGCAGTGGCGGGGGCAGCAGTGGTGGAGTAGTGGCAATGGTGGTGGTGAAGTAGTAGCGGTGGTGGTAGAAAGGTGATGGTGGTGGTAGTAAAGTGGCGGTGGTGGAAGTGGTGGTGGAAGAGAGTTAGTGGTGGCAGTGGTACAGTGGTGATGGCGGTGGCAGAAGATATGTGGTGGTAGTAGTGATAGTAGTGGTAGAGTGACAACGGTAATAAAGTAATGGCAACATGGAAGTGGAAGAGAGGTGGTGGTGGTAGTAGCGGCGGTGGTAATGGATCCATGGCAGCAGAGATGGTGGTGGTGTTGGAGTGGCGGCAATGGTGGTAGAAAAATCTATTTAAACAGGTACTCATGTCTAATCGAAAGAGAGAGCTTTGCAAAATAGGAATTGATTTAGGCAAATAAAGAGGATTTCTCAATTATGGCATGAAACAACGTCGTTTTGCATAATAAAACTATAGGAGATGAAATTATTTCCTTGCGGAAAAATTTGTACAATGGTGACGAAAACTTTTGTCTCTAAAATGGCACCCAAATATTCCGCGAAATTTTCCAAGGGCGGGAATTTTTTTTGTGACGAAAAATAAAATATAGAGATGAATAAATTTTTTGTATCCTATTGTGTTATTGATTTTAAGCATTTGGTGACGAAATTTGGTTTTTTTGTCTAAAAATATTACAATTGGAGACGAAATCTTACTTTTATCTCTAAAACATGTATATTTGGAGACGGAATTTTTTTTCGTCACGCATTTTCATCACCAAAGACCTTTTTTGTTGTAGTGTTCCATGGCATGCCAAGTAGTTTCGAAGGATATGGTTGCGTCTATGTCTAGCTCACCATCCTCCCTTAAAACACTCTTAGTTTTACCAACTCCTGCATGCATGTGAGTGAACTAAATAAATAAATAAATAAAACTTTAAAAAATGAAGACAAACATCCAAAAAAATGCTACTCTTACAAACCAAACAATTCATTGCAAGTTTGTTTATGATGAATGGTGAAAAGAGTAGGTGTGGTGAGGCTAAAGGGAAGTGAACAAGGTATAGATCCAAACAATCTAGCTGAAGCTTCTTCAAACTGTCTTTACAGGCTTCAACAACATGTCCGTGATCTGAATTCCAAAGCTACAATACCAACAAAATATGATAATTTAAATAGTTATCATTACTAAGCCAATGTGAAATTTCATATATGCTTTTGGAAAGCCCAAAAAGGCTAGATGTCAAAAAACAACTGTGCTAAGCGCATAAAAAGATTTCACAGAATGGGACACATAAAATCTTTCTGTGCGCTTAGATTCGTTGAAAAAAAAAATGGTTTGTTATGACTAGCCTCGGTAGTAATGAAAAGATCCTCCCTCTTTAGAGGCCCAGCTTGCAATGCTATTGCTGGTGCCTCACCAACTTCTTCTTCATTCTTGTAATGAGCTGCAACAACAAAAAATTTGAGATTATTATAATGCAAAAGAGCAAAGTTGTTAATCATCGGCTTGTCAGTGTACCATTTTTGTTATTGGTAAGGTTACATTTGCACGGAATGGTTGGAGACAAAATTACTAATATTACATGCAAGAGACCACTGTGATGAAGAGAGAGAAAATAAAAGCAAAATAACAACAGATTTAGACACAAGAATGTTACGTAAGTATGCCTCTTTTAAAACCGACACACTTCTAATTTTATAATTATATAATTAAAATCAGTTTTTTACTATAAGAAACTTTATTTTTGTAAAAATTGCAAAATTCTCACATTCAACATTATTCAAGGTTTTGGGCAACAAGATTTTTTTTTTTTAAACACAAGAAAGGATGCTCTGAGGTGTCATCACAACATCCAGGGCCCAGGCTTAGTGTCACGCCCCACTTTTTATTACTCGAAGCCATTACCAAATTCATTAACTTAATTCAATTTCAGAAATAACATGCGGAAACAAACTCATACATTCAATCCATAGAAATGAATGTAAATACTCTCATTCGTATGCAAAGTAAATGTTACATGAACATACTCAATAAATTGCCCTTGGGCTTACAACCTTTAAATAAACAAATGAAGGGGTGTAACCCTTTTACACATATGGTGTTCTGCCAACAACAAAGAGGCCCCGTGGCCAACAAATAAGAAGATCCAAATTCTGTAGCACAACCTGCTAAACACCTGAAAAAGATTCAATAACGTGGGATGAACATAAAGTTCAGTAGGGATCTCAACATGATCCTCAACAATAACAACTTACAGATAGCTATGATCATGCACACTCATTCTCGTACTAGAATAGTAATATGACAGTTTATATAAAATATATATATATATATAAACTTTTCTTGAAAACAACCGTTTCATTCAACGCTATAAGCGATTCATCTTTCCTTATTCCTTTCATTAATCTCCATTCCCATTCTTTCATAACATTAACAATTTCTTAGGAAAATAATCTCACTAAGCCCGATACTCTCTTCCACTTCTTATACATACACAGATGTACCTTTTCAAATCATGTTTATCGTTAAAACATTCATTCTCCTTCACACTTCCCAAAAGACAAAAAAAGCATTTTGGTTCTTTTCCACTACTATCATACCTATACATGCATAACCTTGTAAAAATATAAATTTACAACCCACCCACATGTATACAGTCAATCAATGGAGTAACTCGGTTCTCCGAACTGGAACCAATCAAATCTATGATATTTTCAGTTACAACTAAACAACAACAATTCCACCCTGCTCAACTAGCTATGCGCTTAGTAAGCCAAAGATATACTGAAATAACTACAACCAAGTTCGCTCTACTAGCTATGTGCGTAGTAAGCCAAAATACCAGTTTACCAGGTGCCAGCTGGAAGGGTATGGTGCCTTCTATTATCAGCGCATACAGTTCTCTAGGCGCTAGCTGGAGGGTAACGGTACCTTTGATTATAAGCGCGGCATATAACGCCAACAACAACCATGCAACAAGGCATATCCAACATGTATAATGCATATACATAACCAACAAGAATCTAACAACGAGTTAAAATAGATAAACTCAAAGGTGTAATGTATACACAACAATTCAACACAACCATGTCATCCTCCACCGATGACCAAGGACAAAACCTCTAGATGCATGTATGTTGTACATCTATTAACAGACTCAAATATCATGAGATCATCAACTTATCACTAATACTAACATAGTAGTATAAGATACAACAATCCAACATTCATACTCATTTCAAAGTACCTTTCCCATTTCACAAAACCAACTCTCTTTATTTTTCAAAACCGGTTTTATTCCTTTTGTTTTTCACAAAATCAAATCCAAGGACAATAAAGCCAAAGCTCATTTTAATCTACTACATTCATCTCCAAGCCATTCCAATTTAATTATACAAATTAAATCATAATCACTAAAATAAGATTTCCCTCCCCTTCTCCCAATATTGATAAAAAGGTTTAATCATCTACAACAAACAACAATGGCTTCATTTAAAAACCCAAATTACCCAAGTATTTTACCCAATGATCAAAACCCCTCTATTGAGTTATTAAACCAAATAAATATTAGGGTTTTCTCTCCTTACAACAACAACAACATGCTAATTAACACCCAATTAGCCCTAAAACACATCTAATGATAATAGATCTAAATCCAACAACTAACCCAAAGTTCAACCTCGTGAATTTATACAAAAATCCAACATAAAATGGTTTTCATGCAATACAAAAATTACCACATGTCTATCTATAGACGTAGTATTGAAAAAGAACAAGGAGAATCCCTACCTCAAAGGAGAACTCAAAAGGAGATGATGACCCGAAATCAAAGTGCTCCAAATCCACAATTTTTTAGATTAGAACGAAGCCCAAGCCGCCCTCTATCTGTTTAACAAAGGACCTAGGATGGATTCATACTAGAAGTAGATGAAATCTAGAGAGATAATAAGTTTAGAGAGAGAGACTCTCGGCTGCTAGGGTTTCAAGAAAGAAAGAGGGAGAAAAATGATCTTTTTCCCCGCTGCTGCCTACTGAAATACGATAGACTCGCTCGAGCGAAGACCTGGTCGCTCGAGCGACCAATTCCAGTGTTCAGGTCCTAGTACCAGACGCAACACTCGCTCGAGCGAAGCCACCCTGGCTCGACCCACCAGACACAAAACTCCACGCTCGCTCGAGCGACAAACAGCTCGCTCAAGCTAAGGACTAAAAACCTGGGCAGCAACCACCTGCTCCCAATCACACCCAACCTGGAACGAACAAGTTCAAAGCATTCTATATCTCAAATTTAAAGAATTGAAGGACAGAAACAAGTTCAAAACAACAACCGGAATCCACGGAACTAAGTCCGGATACTACAACCAAAGGAGAAAAAACCGGGATCGCTATACTTAGTGTACCAATAGCCTAATTTAACCTAATTTATAGAAAGGGACTCACCACCGAGGTACCAACGGAGTTCAACCAGACGCCATAGACGAGCCCAGGAGTCGATTGGAATACAGAGCGAGGTCTCCAAAGTGAACCACTGGAGAACCCAACGTTTTCGCTCCCCCTGGGAGTCGAACCTGGGTCATGCCTGTAGAGAAGGATACCTTCTCCACTAGGCCACCACCCCGGGTGGTGGGCAACAAGATTTGAATTCACGTTTTCTTGAAAGAATGAGATACCAAGTTAAATCACTGATTATTTTCAAAACCTAAGCTATTAGAAATTGGGTTAAATAATATTAATATTAAACTAACATGGTGTATATATATCTCTAAATCATGAAAACACACTTCACAAAATATATGAAAGAATAAAATGCAATACAATTTCTGCTACATTGAGAATAAATTTAGTCCATATACTTTATTTTTTGACAACTTTTCAAATAATTTCATACACATACATATGATAGAGTGAGAGTACCAGCACAGTCGAAATGGCGGTAACTGACCTTGATAGCATGGATGAGGACAGTTTTTATGTCTTTGTTATCCATACGCCGGATGCCGAGTCCGATAATCAGCATCTTGTAGCCATTTTTGAGTGTAACAGCCATTTTTCAAAAGTTTTGAGAACTTTGGTTGTGTTGTTTTGACAATGTTGGTCCTCTAATGTGGGAACTAGCATGTCTATATATAGTGCTATTGTGGCAAGAATTGATAATTAACTAATTTGATTTGTTTTTCCAAATTTTTACAATATTTAATTTGTCAAATAAAAGGCTGGCCTCTTCTTATTTACCCTGTTTCATTCTTTCTATAACCACTCTCTGTGTTTTCTTCTCGCATATGAGGTCTGGTCTTGTCAAGTGTGGAAGTGATAAAGAGAGACAAGTCTCAAACACTTTCTCAAACATGTTGCCAGTCGCAAGGTTGAAATTAGATTATGGCGGTATGTTGGTTTGGGAGTACAAATAGTCCAGCGTAAATTATAAATATATTTTTTGAATTTTGGTTAAAATATAAATTATTTTTTATGATTTTAAAAATTTTATTTCACCTTTGAGGTTTTAAATTTCATAATAAATTATTCATTTTATTAATAAATTATTGAGTCAATTAATAATTTTTATTAATATTAAAAATATATTTGAATTAATAATTTAAATAATTTTATTATTATATAGAAGAGTAATTATAAATTTTATTTTTGTAATTAATTTTATTAAATAAAAAATATTTATAATTTTTCAAATCACTAAAGACAATATGTAATTATAATTTAACCAACAATCAAAAAGCCAATACAAGAGAAAAAGGCAATAATGGTTCACATGACCATGCTAGAGCTTAGAGATGGCAATCGAAACTCGACCCAACGGGGACCCGGCCCCTCGATCCCGAATTGAGCGGTTATTCCCAGAAAATATCCCTGACGAGTCAGGGATGGTATTAAAAAATGAATCTTTGATGATATTCGGGCTGGGGACGAAGATATATGTTTCAGCACCGGACCCGGCCCCCACCCTATTTACCCTGATATAAAATTACTATTTTGCCCCTGTTTATATATATGTGTGTGTGTGTGTATGTGTGTGTCTGTAGGGTTTTGTTGAACACTCACTCATACACAAACACTGATGCTCTGCTGCTCTCTCTCTCTCTCATCGCCGTTGTTGGTTCAGGGTTTCATCTCTCTCTCTCTCTCTCTCTCTCTCTCTCTCTCTCTCTCTCTCTTCTTCACACAACGAACGACAGCTGCCGTTCCTCTGTCACCGTCGATCCTCCCTCACCACCGATCCTCTCTCACCGCCGCTCGTACCTCACTGCCGATCATCCTCCCTCACCGTCGTTGCTGTTTAGAGCTTCGCATCCCGCTCTCTCTCTCTCTCTCTCTCTCATGTATGCACGACGGCTGCTGCTCCCTCACCGGCAATCCTCCTCACTATCGATTTCAATCTAGGGTTTATATACATATATATATATATATATATATATGAGTGTATATATAGTATCTCTATAGGGATTTCGACCTTTGTTTTTTTGTTATTTTGTTTTTTTTCTCTAAATTTATTTATTATAAATTTCCAAATTCCAACAGATGATCTGTTATATATATATATATATAACAACGATCTGTTATTTATTTTAAATATATATATATATATAAATGATCTGTTTTCGACCTCTATTATTTTATTGATCTGTTTTTTTAATTATTGATCTGCTTTTCAATACCTACCACCTGCTACTGTAATTTGGGGATTTATGGAATTGGGGGGAATGACGGGCTCCCCGCCGGGGACGGGGAATTTATCACTTTTGGGAGATCGGGGACGGGAAGTGTAGTCTTCGGCCTCGTCCCATTGCCATTCCTACCAGAGCTGCCCCTCACAGCGTGTCAAATGACGATTTTACGCCTCTGAGAGTTCGAAAGACACACCAATACAAACAAAAAAACGATAGGAGCACACTAGTCTCTTCTCCATCCAAATCATTCAAACACGTTTTTCAATACACAAAAATCACAAAAAAAAAGATTAAATTACAAATACATCCCCAATGTTTACTTAAAATACAGATTAGTCCCTATTGTTTTGAAAAATTATAAATATTCCCTTATTAGAATTTTTTATTTAAGAGAATTAATTGAAAAAATAAAATTCATAATTACTCTCATATACAGTAATAAAATTACCTAAATTATTAATTGAAACATATTTTTAACATTATTAAAAATTATTAATTGACTTAGCCTTCATTTGGCAAGAAAAAGTTTAGGACTTTTTGACTAAAATAACCACAAAAAGACAAAATAGACTAAAAAGTCAATAAGATAAAATGTCACATCCAAACTATAATCATTTTATTTTTTTCTCTCACAAAAGTAAAAAAAGCCAAAAAGCTCATCTTAAACAAGACTTTTTATCCCCAGGTAAAAATAGCCAAAAAGCCATCACACATTCCAAACGAACCCTAATGATTTATTAATAAGAAGGACAATTTGTTATGAAATTAGAAATCTTCAAGAATAGAATGTAATTTTCAAAACCACAGGGGACAATTCGTATTTTAATAAAATTTCAGGATGTGTATTTGTAATTTATTCAAAAAAAAAATCATCCATCTTTTTCCAACATAAAAACCTAAAATAACTTATTAAAATAATTAAATAATAAAAAAAATCAATTAAAATAATATATTTTCAAAGGCGCCTTATATGATCCTACTTAAAAAGCAATGTGAAAAGTGCTTCTAACACTACTTGGGTAAAAATAGTCATCGAGATTATATCTAGATCCAACTCTGAAATATTTACGAAATTAAAATTTGTTCAAATAAGTGCATTATATATATTATATAGTATGTGTAATTTTAGTAAAGTCTAAAATATTTATTTTAATAATCTAAATAATTTCTCAAAGCTCTAACATTAAATTTATTAGAAACATCTAATTCAAAATCAATTGTCTATGAATACACTAGTCTATATACTATCCTGACAAAATTTGAGTACCAATTAAAGGGAAACACTATATATGATGCATACTCTTCAAAAGGTGTGTATCGCGTGTATTTCATAATTAAAGAAGAAAATGTCATGATTTCATACTTTCTGAATTATAACTTAAAAAAATAGATCATAACTAAACATAATATGAAATATAACTAAAGAACTCATAATTTATAACTAAAATAATATCATAACTAAATAAGAAAATTAATCATAACTAAAAAAATAATGACATAACTAAAAATATATATAATACACCTCTTTTAAGAGTGTGTGTACACAAAAATTTTCCTCAATTGAATGATCACTCCTAATATAATAAATAGAAGAGGGTTACTACATATACATATATATATATATATATATATATCAAATATATGTCGTCAAAATAGTTCATTGAAACTCTTTAAGCTCTTATAAATTTCTTATATTACATGATAAGTTTCTGCATTTATTAATCGCGTGAATCCTGTATTTATTAATAGCGTGAATCCTTGGTAGAATAAGATTAATGATAAATAATATTTCTCTCAACGGAATATAGAATAAAAAAATTACCTTGACATTATTGTAACAAACAAATATGGATGCGCGTGGCGAATGTGTTGTTTCACATTGCTCCTCAAATACGACTATCATAGTTATTTTGGAATAATAAACTATTTATCTCAAGACACTTAAAAGTCATCTTATTTTTCAAAAATAAATATAAAAATACTAGATTTTAATTTTTACTATTTTACCTAATAAAAATAAAGTAAGCATGTCTATGGGTATAAATTTGGTCCGTCCTGGTCCACCCGGGCTCAGGCTCAGGCTCGGGCTCGGGCTAGCCTATGTTGAGCTTTGTGGGCTTCTATCGAAATTCGGGTCGGATCACGGGTCAAAAAATTAGGCCTAGACCCAGGGGGTATTCGAGTCTTGGACAGGCTTGAGCTCGGGTTCGGGCTCGGGCTTGAATATTTTTTTTTAATTTTTTTCTATTTTTTCACCAGAATTTTATTTTTTTTCTACAAAAAATAACACTAGGTCTCGGGTGAGCCGGGATTTGAGTAGGCCTTGAGCGAGCCAATGGGCTGGGCCACGAGCTCTGGGGGCGGGTTTCAGACTGTCCACGGGCCACGGACTATTTTTACAAATAGTTCTCGTCAAATAAAAAATATTATGGATACAAAATGAATCACATGACTAATCATAAAATAATTTTGATTATGCAAAAGTGACGGGATCAATCATAAAAGTTCACGTATAATTATATATAAGATTGTAGGCTGGAGATGTGTCGTTCGGCCTAATGGATTTATTTTTTGGGTCTTGTTTCGATGATTTGAACCGTTCATATTTTAGGATTTGCCAAGTATATCATCTTTATAAAAAATCAAGTTGATTGGTTAACGGTAACCAGTGGTGGAGCCAAGATATTAAGGTAGAGGGTGCACTTTATAATTTTAATATTTTTAGTGATCAACAATAAAATAATAATAATTTTATGAGCTAAATTTAAGCATAAAAATATAATTATTTATTATTAATAGCAACTAATCAAAATTCTATAATAATGTGAAATAATTTGGACACAATAATAATGTAAGTATGCAATTTTAGTACAAAAAATTACAAATTAAAATTCTTAATTTTAGAAAAAAGAAGCAAATCATTTATAGCACAAATCATTATAAAATTTCTATAATTTTTATTTGATAGAAAAATATTAGAGAGATAGCATTAATTATAAAAATGTATTTTGAATAGAAATTATTATATAATCCCAGAATATTATGTGGTGTTGATGATGTGGTGCTTTGGATATAAGAAATTACAACTCACACTAAGTGATTCACCTATTATTTTTACCTAACAATAATGAGTTATTATGTTCTATTCATAAAATTTGACACTATATTATTGATTTAGACTACCACATAAATAACACTACATGGTGCTCCAAAAGTACTAAATAAATTATATTGTGTGAATAATGCAAAAAAAAAGAAAAGAAAAATCAAAACTAGCGGACACGTGACCCCTCGCCCTGCTGTGGCTCCGCCACTGCCAATGACTAAAAAGAATTGGGAAATGCTAGGTTTCATGAAGAATTTTCAT